CTGCCCTGCCCTGAGTGTGAGAGTGGCGGCACCCCAACCCCCTGATCGGCTCTGCTCTGTGTGTGATGGGGGCGGTGCCCCAACTCCCCTATCGGCCCTACTCTGTGAGTGACAGAGGGGAGCTCCTCAACCCCCTAATGGGCCCTGCTCTGTGAGTGACAGGGTGGAGCTCCCCAAACCCCTGATCGACACTGCTCCGTGTGTTACACGGTAAGGAGCCCCAACCCCCCGATGGGCCCTGCTCTGTGTGTGACAGGGGGCAGCACCCCAAGCCCCGGATTGGCCATTTTCTGTGCGTGACAGGGGGTGGCGCAACCTCCCCATCTACCCTGCCTTGAGTGTGACAGGGGGCGGTGCCCCAACCCCCTAATCGGCCCTACCCTGAGCTTGACTGGGGGTGGCATCACAACCTCCCAATCTGCCCTGCTCTGTGCATGACAGGGGGCGGCGCCCCAACTCCCCAATTGGCCCTGCTCTGAGCCCAAACAGGGGCTGCACCTAGGGTTTGGGCCTGTCCTCTGTCACCCGGGGGCAGGCCTAAGCCAGCAGGGCGTTATCTCCCGAGGGGTCCCAGACTGCGAGAGGGCACAGGCCAGGCTGCGGGACCCCCTCTTCCCCCCGAGTGCACAAATTTTTGTGCACCGGGCCTCTCGTCTATAATAATAAAAGTGTAATATGCTAATTAGACTGGACGACCTTCCGGACAAAGCCAGGGCTGCAAGCGAAGCCGGGTCCTGCGTGCCAGAGGGAAGCCAGTGCTGGCAGCTGGGGGAAGGAAGGCCTATTCTTGCACGAATTTCGTGCATCAGGCCTCTAGTGAAATGATAAATTTCTATACTTTTTTCTTCCTTTTAAAAATTAAATACATTCAAGCCTTATTATTCACACATTCTTCATTTGTGAATTTACCAACTCACTAAAATTTAATTGTAACCTCAAAATCAATACTTGCAATGTTTTCATGGAGCAGCAAAATATGAGAATGCACTGAGCAGCAAAATATGAGAATCGCTTTACACATGTTCAACTGAGGTTGAGCAAGGAAATGCTCTGCCTTGTTGTTTCAGCTCTCATATTACAAACAAGTGTCCTTTTGATGGTCTATATAATGCCTTATTTTTCACATTTTTGTTGATGACCTTGTTGTTAAATTAGCTTCTAAGCATAGTGCTGAAATGCTATTTACTGATCCTAAGAGCAAGAAGGCTGGGATGTACATTATGGAGAAAATATGTTTGTCAGATAGGCTTCATTCAGGCATGAGTTATAGTGCTGCTGGCCATGAGTTTAATATTAAAACAACTAAATATTAAGGTGTCTTTACCACATTAAGCGCCCAGCCTGTTTTGTCTTTCAGACAGGAAGTATAGTGTCAGTCACTGGAGACTGACAGGATGCTTAATGTGTTAAATATAAACATATATAAAACAAGGTTAAGGATGATTGATAAAAATGTTGTGACTTGAGGAAAGCAAGAACCACATCTGTGTTTCCCCTATGAGCAATGGTTCAGTATTTGTTAATTCAGTGCTTGGAGTGACTTTGTAGAACTACTGTAAATAATAAGAGTCAACTGTACAATGTTAGCAACCCCAAATTCAAGTACTAGTTTTAGAATTCTAAAATGTTTCTCACATAAATTTTTCAAAAGGAGACATAAACGTTCAAGATTTTTATCTCTATATCATGGTGGCCTTCTTAAGTCAAAGACCATATAAAGTCATGTTCTATATAGCCTTTTTCCTTACATTGATTGCTAATGCACAGAGCTGATACTGTTCTAATGTGATGATTTCATGGTAACAGGGTTCTTGTGCCAGCTTCACAATAGCACTCCCAGCAGCAAGTCTCAGACGTGACATATCTGGTTTACTGAAAAATAAGCAAGAAAGAATATAAATTAGATTTCTAACTATGTGCACAAAAACATT